TCATAAATTCATAAATTAATGTTAAGCATATCAATTCATCAATTATAAATCACAAATCATGATCAAATACATATTTCATACAAATCATGGATCAATGTTTAAAATCATCATAAATCATCATTATCATTCTTTTATCATTAACTACGGTCATTGCTATAACTCGTGATATTGGTTGTATCGACAATTTCATCCTCATGATCATTGTTAACTATTATAACCCACTAGCCAAGGCCTTACGCTAACTACTATTACCTATTAGCTAAAGTCTTATGATCATGTCTTTGTTAACTACTATTACCCGCTAGCCAGGGTCGTAGAATTAGTTCTGGTGTCGATGATCCCACTTCCCAATGATGTAAAAACATAGCTATCATAAAATCATTTTTTAACATAAATCATTTTCTCATTTTATTCATAAGCATGATCCGTCGTTTATATAGAGAAACACAAAATAATCATATGCTTGATCATATTTTCATACATTGAAAATAATGAAATAAAATATCCATTCATTTAGAAACATACATATATATATATTTGAAAATAAGCAAAATGCGTGAGATTCTACTTACCTTCTTTCGATTTCACCACATAATTTTTCTCTCCAAATAATTAATACCATATTCAAGATAATTTCAACATAACAGTAATTAATCAACCCATTTGAGACCATTTATACCAAAATAATTAAGTTAAACAAGAATTAACTCAAGTAACTAATTTTGGTAGCTTGCACTTCTTTCACTAAAACGATCATATCTTGAGATATTCAACTCAAAATTAAAATTTTTTAATACATTAGAAATTAGACTCGATAAGCTTTCTAACCATATATAGCCTATCTTGTGATTCTTTGTGGATTAACTATAACAATTTTTGCAATCTACGTCATATATTGTTGCTAGATAACCTGTATACCTTCTCATAAAAATTACGTATTTATTTATAAGAAACTCTAAATTTGATTCCGCTTATTTCATTAGAAGTAAACGCAATAAGCTTTCCAAACATATTTGGCTTAATTTGTAAATCCTTGCATAAAAATTAAGACAATTTTTGTAATCAACCTTGATGTTGTTGTCTTATAACCTGTATATGCTTAAGTAAAAATTAGACAACTCTTCATAAAAAAATTCAGATTTAACTTTCATTTGTTTCATTAGAAAGTAGATTCAACATGCTTTCCAACGATATATAATAATCACAACAATAATCTGTCCATTAATACAAAATTTTATTTTAATTCATTATTACAGAGCATAGCATCTCATCCAAAAATAAAATTTCTCATTCAATCTTTAAAGACTAAAATCCCCACTTTTAGCCTTTAAACTCCATTCAATAATCATCAATAAATCTTAAGAACATGAAATAAACAAAGCCTAGTAAATTACCTATATAGATCATGAAGATTAATGAAAGATTTCATAATTTTTTTTTATTTTTCTTTCAAAACTTCAACTCTAAATAATAGCAATCAACATTATATTTTTTCTTAAATAAAAAGAGGGCACATACTCACCATTAGAAGATTAACTCAATTGTAGTCTTTGATTTTGAATCTCCAACTTGATTTTTCATGCTCTCTAACCCTATAAAAAATAAGAAGAAGAACTCTAATTTCTTTTTAGTTTCACGATAATTAGGTTTTCTTTCATATAATATCTCAATTATTTTTCTTTTATTAATTAATCTCTTAATAAATTGATGGACTTTAGTATTAGTCTAACCCAATTATCATTTGGGTTGATGTATTGCATTCTCTTAAGCCAAGAGCTTCTTAAGGAACTGTTATAGCATTGGTCTGGATCACCCAGAGGCTTGCACTCAACATCCCCTGCAGCAGTAGCATTAGCAGCATCTTCAGTCTTAAGCCTCTTGCTCCTATCTTGCCCGCATCTCTTCTTCTCCACCAGTAGTTTAAGCTCACGAACTGTTCCAAGAAGCTCTTTAATGTAGTTTATAGCATCTCCAACTATAGATGCTCTATCATTCTTGGTTGTAGCCGATGAAAATGTGTTTCCCCACCACCAAAATAACACCAAAAAATTGAGAACTTTTTTAGTGCTTATCATAAAAGAAACAAACTGTTTTATTGTGATGAAAAAAGAACGACAGTAATAAAGTGGCTAGTGTACCTTGGTAAGGTTAGGGACCATTGTCCTTAACGCCTGGTACTTGTCATTGAGATGAACTCTCCTTTCTCTCTCAGTTGCAAAGTGCTTGGTGATTTTGCCAGCCTTATCTCTGCCTTTGCCACGGCCAGCCATAGAGATGTCCCTAGTGAACTCAAGAATCCCATTGTCCCCATCATGATGAAGTCCCCAAGCCCACCAGCCCCTTTGTCATCAGCTGGCAAGTTGTAGCCATGCGGCAGAGATTGCAGCAACTCCTTGAAGACAGGAGGCTGAGGAGGCAGGTCGAGATGGAAACGTGGGTCATATACAACAGAGGATGCAGGTTCGTTTTCCAAGGAAATGGATGAATTAGGAAGAAAAGAGCATCTGGGTAAACGGAAAAGGTTAAGAAGGTCAGGTGTGGGAGGGTAAGCAGCTTCTGGGGATGAAGAAGATGGCACCATATTGAAACTTTGTTGGTCAGCATCCCAATTGGACTGATCATAAGAAAGCTCCTGAGTTAGTTGTGGGATCAAATGGGAATTGTTGGTGGTGGTGTTGTCGAGCAAATAGTGTTGTTGGACTTCTATTTCAACGGCCGCGGAGGCATCTTCATGGTGGTGAGGATTGTAAGAAGAGAGATTTAGATTGTCTTCCAGACTGTTGTGGCTGGGGGTGGCAGTGCCCCCAGCCAGGCCCATAAGTGCCTGGCAATCTGTCATGGAGTGTGGGATGAAAGCAACCACTCTCCTGGTACACCTTCATATTTGTTTTCTCTGTGTGTTTGTCCTGTTTGACATAATAAACAAAACAAGATTAATTAGTATATATAAAGAGGAAGAAGGGAGAAATTAATATAATATATACAAGGCCAGTATTACGTTGGGTTGGGAGACAATGAGAGATGAGAATTGTGAAAGGAAGGAAGCAATATTTAGCTTTGAAAGAGAAAACATAGAGAAAGGGTAGAAATAGGTTGAAGATACTAAGTAATGAGTTGAGAGAGAGAGAGAGAGAGTTCTGATTTGTTTTCAGGTGGCAGTAGTGTTTAATTTTCTTGAAGCCTGGTGCATATGCCTACATGTCATTGTATTTATAATTTATTTATGATTATATATAGGCATGTAGTGGTAGTAGTAGTAGGAAGGATGAAATTAAACAAAGGAAAGGAAAATATATAAGTAAAAAAGGTTAAGGGTGGCATGTATAGAAATTAATTCCAAATTGGATTCTCTTCCACAATGGAAAAGAATAGAATAATATATGAGTTTCAGCATATCCATCAATTATTATTTTACAAAAATTGGTGCGCTCATTTTGATCATAATTAAATATTAATTAATGATTGATTTCTTATAGTATTACCTTTTGATCATATCATATTGTACCATGTCATATGTATGTAAATATACAGTAGCATGGTTGGTAATTTGGAGATTCACGCGAATTGTGGGTTTAGTATGCGGGATAAAAGTTTGTTAGTTTGAAGACCCAAAAAAACAAAAACAAATATATTCCGATATCCTTCATGAAACGAAATGAAATGCAATGCAAAGTGACCGCCCCAACTAACCCAACCCAAATCCAAATCTGTTAGTTAGCCTTCATTTTCATCTACATGTAAATTCTCTCTCTTCAAGCTGCTATTATTATTATTATTAATAAAAAAAATTAGCTCTGAATCAAAATGAAATGATGCTGCATGTGCAGAAAATATTATTTATTATTATTATAAAAAAAAAAAAAAGTTGTCTAGTCTAATCTATCTAATCTACATACATAGAAATTAGCTTAGTGATACAAGTGCTACTATCCTTCTTCCCTTGATTTCCAATTCATGCAAAGTTTGTGCCAACACCGTATGATATATGGTCATAACATTATATATATTATCCTCTTCTTTCCAAAAAAAAAAAAAAAAAGTTATATATTTACTTTATCAATAATCATTATTATTATTAATTTTCCATATTTATTTCTCTTCATTCATTGATTCAAGGTTTAATTAAGTTGCAACACTTTCTCAACAATTACTCAACTAACTGCGACTACTGCTATCTATCTTACCCTTCTTAATTTTATTCTTAACTAATTCTTATTATTCCATTACAAAAGTATTATATATATTAATGCAACAAATCATTTGAAGTTAATTAATAAGTTGGAAAGTAAAGTAACAAATCATTTATTAACGCAACACATATATATTTATAACATAAGCTCTCACCATTATATTCTTATTTGTATATATATATATATGTATATAGACTTCACATTTCGTCTCACCTGACAAAATACTACTACTATAAGTTGGATTATTTAAACAAATACTAGTATAAAACATAGAGTTGCATTCATTTCCAGCGTCCAAAAAGTTGCACTTAAAGACGCATTTGGAGAATATTATGCGTTAATTCCTGTTCCCTATCTGGACATCAAACCACATGGTTTCTAGGATTAACTTATGCCACCTCCCATAATTTCTCCACCTTTCTTTGTCTACCCATACAATTTGTTGAGGTTGGATGGAAGCAAACTCTTTAACTCCCACGTCATATCATGTCTTGTTGCATGATCTATCTCAAGTCAAACCTTAATTTCAGTCTTCACAAAGGGCCAAGGCCCAGACGATTTTCTTACCAAGAGATGGACAGATCAAATCTCACTTTACTCTGAACATGGGCTTGTCATCACCTCCAATCCTTGTGTAAGTGTGTAACCCAACAAAGAAAAACCCAAAACAGAACCTTTGCTTTTTTTGGATTAAAAAAAAAATTCTATGGACATGTGTGACATCAGCAATGGCTCCTTTTAGACAGCATCTTAAGTTAACAGAAGAATGAGGCTGAGGCGAGTGGAGCTGCCAGAGCATCGCATGTAACCGCAATATCTTTTTTGTTTTTTTTTTTATTTTTTCCTTGTGCAATATATCAGCGATTAACACAAGGGCAAGACTCTGCCTTTTTGATGAATCTTTTCTCTCTAAACAGATCTCTTCACTAAGCTCCCTCACCAATTTCTTCATTGCCATTTTCTCTCAGCTGATCAATCTCTTTCTTGAGTATCCATTTTGGTTTGAGCTTTTTGGTCGCCTTTTTTATATGTATAAACTGGCCTAGTGAAAGTCCAAATTGCTGTTGCCTCGTTGAAGAAGCCGACAGAAAACGGGTTTATCGCTTTCCCTTAACTTTTATGTATTGTTGGCTACTTTTAGTTTGGTAGATGGTAGATAGCCAAAGTAACTATACTGACTGAGTTTACAAAGTCTGATTTTGCCTTGTCGGATAGAATATGATGTGGGTTCTTGATTGATGCCGATGGGCGATGGGATACAGATTTCCAAACATACCATGTAGTGAAACCCTTTCCAGATTTTTCTGTTATTCTCCAGAATTAGAAACTTCTTTTGGGGTCAAACGTTGGCTAAAGATTTCATGTTGTATTGTTGTTGATTAGTTGGTTTTGGTTTTTGGTCTCGTTTTGGAGGATAAAACCATTACAAAAAGCATAGGCGGCTTTCTGAATTTGGTTTAATATCACAGTCCTAGACCTAGAATTCTTAAATTAGAAGCTTTAAATATTTTCAGTTACATCTGGCCTTAATCAAGAGAAAAAGATGGTAGGAACTACTGAAGCAATGAACCAGAATGTCCATGCAAATGGCTTGATTCAGAACTTCAATGGTTCTTTATTAGAAGAGAAACTCGATGATGTTCGACATCTAATGGGTAAAGTAGATGGTGATCCGCTAAGAATTGTTGGGGTTGGTGCAGGTGCTTGGGGTAGTGTATTCACTGCTTTGTTGCAAGACAGTTATGGCCACCTAAGAGATAAGGTTCTGATAAGAATATGGAGGAGACCTGGAAGGACAGTTGATAGGGCCACAGCTGAGCACTTATTTGAAGTGATCAATTCAAGGGAGGATTTGTTAAGGAGACTGATTAGGCGGTGTGCTTACTTAAAGTATGTTGAGGCAAGATTAGGTGATCGGACTCTGTATGCAGATGAGATTTTGAAAGATGGGTTCTGCTTGAATATGATTGATACTCCGCTTTGCCCTTTAAAGGTTGTTACTAACTTGCAGGAAGCTGTGTGGGATGCTGATATTGTAATTAATGGCTTGCCATCAACGGAAACCCATGAGGTGTTTGAGGAAATTAGAAGGTATTGGAAAGAGAGAATAACATTGCCAGTAATCGTTTCTCTGGCAAAGGGTGTAGAAGCTGAGTTGGGCCCTGAACCTCGCATAATAACTCCCACCCAGATGATCAATCGTGCAAGTAAGCTTCAAGTTTTGGCAAGCCACTTTAATTGTTTTAACCTATTTGCTCAATTCACAATAAAGCTCAGGTTAACATGAATATTACTTCTTTTCTTGCAGCTGGAATCCCTATAGAGAACATTCTCTATCTTGGAGGACCTAATATTGCTTCAGAGATTTACAACAAAGAATATGCTAATGCTCGAATTTGTGGGGCTGAAAAGTGGAGGAAACCATTGGCAAAGTTTTTAAGGCAGCCTCACTTTATTGTATGGGACAATGGAGACCTTGTTACTCATGAAGTTATGGGTGGTTTGAAGAATGTCTATGCCATTGGAGCTGGTAAGATCTAGTTTCTTGCAAGTATTCTAAGTCAGACATATATTAAGTTGTTACGGCAATATTAGATATTAGTTTAAAGAATAATCCTGGAAAGAGGAAACAGGATTTCTGCAATTTAAGACACAGATCAACCCAATTCAAGGTAATTTATGATCAAAACAGGACCTATTCACTCAAAATAAAACAAGAAAGTGTTGAGCCAATGGCCCAGTTTCCTTGTGTAGTTGTATGTGTTATGATTCTAGACTTGTTTTGATGTTGAGCCTATTGCCGACTTTCCATATTCTCCAAGATGTTAAAGGCTTACACATTATTTCCATGAATAAATCTTTACAAACAATACAGGATGCTAAACACCTAATCTTTGGACTAAAATAATTTAGTTTCATTTTGAGTAATAAGTTGAAATTTCAAATCTGTATGTTTAACTTCCAATAATGATTCCACAGGAATGGTAGCAGCTCTAACCAATGAGAGTGCCACCAGCAAATCGGTATACTTTGCACACTGTACATCTGAGATGATATTTATCACTCATCTCTTGGCAGAAGAGCCAGAAAAGCTTGCTGGGCCTTTGTTGGCTGACACTTATGTAACCCTGTTGAAAGGTCGTAATGCTTGGTATGGGCAACAGCTGGCCAAAGGGGGACTGAGCCTTGAAATGGGTGATAGCATCAAGGGGAAGGGGATGATTCAGGTATGAACTTTTCTGTTTCAAGGAGTATCAAATTTGAATAAGCAGTTTTTGGTTGATTTAGCAAGAGTTGAGTCAATACTTGTCTGAGTTGAAGCAAATCATGTGATACAGTGACTTTTCAAATTTATAAGCATCTGTTGCGTATAGAATAAAAATAGTGTTCTTAAAGCAACTATCAGGGAACTTTGGGAGAGAATGAATCATCAACTAATTTGTGATATGGAAACCTACTGAACTATTTATATTTTTTGGGTATGCTTGTTTTGTATCTTTATTGCTTCAACTGAAAGCTTGCTTTCAAGCTCTAGAATGACTTCAGAGGCACTGTCTTTAATGGTAACAGGAATATCAATATTAATTCATGAAGTAGTAACTTGCAAACAAGTTTAAGTAGATGAAGTATCCATAGCACACGTGGACTGGTAAAGATCAGCTAAGGATGGGGTTTGGTGGCAACCTTTTCTGGTACAGCCTATGTATCAATTTTGTTTTATATGCTTTGTTGGGGTAAACTCAGAAAATTTCATCTCCTTTTCTACATCAGTTTACAGCCTCCTTGAATCTCATCTCAATCACATGTTTTAGCATACTCATTGTCAATTTGTAATAATGGTAACAACATGGTTGGCATTAGTAATCACTGTTTATTAATAAAACAAGATTCCGGTTCTTCTTTTGCTTTGCATCCTATCAGATCCTAACCTTTAATTCCTTTTATGAATAATAATCTCATTATTTTGGCAGGGTGTATCTGCTGTGAAAGCCTTTTATGAGCTGCTTAGTCAGTCCAGCTTAAGCGTCTTACACCCTGAAGAAAACAAACATGTGGCTCCAGTGGAGCTTTGCCCCATATTGAAGATGCTATATAAGATACTCATCACGAGGTAAGTCAATTGCCTTTCCCCAACTGTCTAGATGATGTTTCTATTATCCTTAAATCTCCCCCTTTTTTCAGACATGCGCTGACCATACTGAAAGTAGAGCGGCAACCAGATAGTCTAGATTTTTATTGTTTCAAAAGTGTGTCTGCTCACGAAACTTGGTTTTGAATTTCGATGTTCAGGGAGTTTGCATTACAAGCCATCCTTGAAGCTTTAAGGGATGAAACCATGTATGACCCAAAAGATCGTATCGAGATAGCACAAACTCACGTGTTGTACAGACCATCACTTCTTGGTCAGGACAGCAGCCTTGATAAAAGCTGATCGATCCCGTAATTATTCTGGGCGGATGTAAATTTTGATTAAAAAAAAAAAAACAATAATAATAAAGTCACTAGCGTAGGTTCTATTTCTATAGTTAAAAGGAAGAGCTGTACAAGTGGATTTTTTTCTTTCTTTTTTGTGTTGTCCATTTGTAATATAGCTTGTTCTTAATGTCAATGTACTCAAGTTTGGTTTTCAGAATGAAATCTTTGAGAAAGTGGTAATAGCAGCTAGCAATGGGAAATACGTGTTAAAAAAAATGCTAATTAATTTTTTTTTTTTCCATTTGGTAATTAAAACCAGAAGTCGTCGATAAAGCCAAACCAAAATGGAATTGGAACGGCATCGTGTGGTGGAACTACTTACTTCTGTTTTAAGTTTTTAACCGTCGGAAGTGATGCGTTTTGGAGGGCAGTCAGCCATTTCCCAACGCCAGCGGTGCAGAATTTGGCAAGAAGAGAGATGTCTCGGGTGGACTACGCATCCTCCTCAGACGACGACCTTCCAGGCTCCGAACACGAATCACCACAACAACTCCACGAACTACCAGCATCTCCACCACCGCGACCGCCTTCCTCTCCTAAAACGCAGTGAGCGAAAGCATAATATTATTTGATCTTTCAAATTTTCATTTTTAATTGTGCACAACATGTCAAGGTGGTTAATTTAATTGGCAGGGCATCTTCTGGGTGCTCATTTGCTGATCAAAAGCCAGAAACTTTTGAGAAGCTTCCAGATGCTTCGATGCTTTTGAACTCTCCGACAGTGTCATTAGTGAGTGGAAACGACCACGCATCTATAGTAGTGGCAGCGGTGGCGGAAAGTGCGTCGCGTAAGCAAGACTCGAAGGATATGATGGGATTGGGTTCCACTACTAGTGTTAGCGTACCACCGTCACCAAGGGCTAAACTTCCTAGAGCTACCATACCTCATTCCAAGAGCGTTCATGACACCGAAGGTGGCGCCCTTATTCCCCCCCAGCTCAAAGGAAGGTCTCAATTCTTCCCAAACCCTTTTTTTTTTTTTTTTTTTTGGTTTAGACTTCTTATTTAGAAGAATCAATTGAAATTTTATGCAACACATAATCTGCTTAACGTTAGTACAACTTTGGGTAGCATTGATGATTTAGCTACTAAATTTCAATCCCAAGAAAAACAGGGAACAAATTTTATCTCAAACAATCAAATTTTCGGCTCCACAGAGCAGTTAATTGTTGATAATTACTATTTTACTTTAGACCATTGCTAAAGATTTTAGCCATCAAACAAATGCATATTAGTTTGGGCAACTCTGGTTGACACAGCAATGGCTTAAGGCGAGGTAGTAATTGTAAAGAATTGGCTGATCTATTGAGTCGTTTGAGATAAAATTTGTTCCTTGTTTTCCTTGGGATTTTAACCTTAGCTGCCTGCAACTATTGACTTTTCCTTCTGAACGAAATAAATTGCTTGTTGTGTAAATTAAATTATTTTACTTTGCTTGTGGGAAGTCTTTTTTTTTTTTTCACATGCATACAGATCGGTGAAAAAAAAGTAACGAATTCTTACAAGCCAAATCTTGATTGATTTCTGTTTCTATTATGGTCTTAATTGCTAGAATTTGAAATTTTTATGGCTTTTTTCGACTGTCTCAAGAAGCAAAACATTGTGCTTTTCCAAGTGAAAAAAGTTTCTTCTTATGCTTGAGAGCTGACTATTTTCCTTTTATCCCTTCTTTTCACTCAAAATTACTACATTTCATAGGCGCTTGACACCGACAAGAAGCATACAATAGGCTGGAGAACTGTCAGTCTCTCACATACTATCCACCCTTTACATTGCCTAATGTTCCTCAAACCTCATGTGGGGTAGTTTAATATCTGGACTTTCAAGCCAAATCTTCCTTGCATGTCTATAATTTGATTCGTAAATGTTGTTTGTCCTTTGTTTACGTTGGAGAAAATTTATTGTTAATAATTAGTGGTTCAATTTTTTACAGGAGTAACGTGGTCACTGAAGATATCGGCAAGCTATTTGTTAGCAGGCATGCTGTTGCAAAGCCCAGAGTGCCTGAAAATTAGTCATAGTTTATTTCCTCTTGAAATTGTTGATTTGTACAAGCTCAAAACAGCTAAACATCTTGAGGATTTTGATTTTATATAAATGTGAAGTATACTTTTGCACATGCTTGGATTCTCTAGTTTGGCTGAAGTTGTGTAGTGGGTTCATATTTTCCTGTTGCAGAACTCATTGGTGAAACTGGCTAACTGTTCGAATTAACTTTAGCTTTTATGATAACTTTTTAGGAAAAATTGACAACTTATGGAAATGACGAGTTTTAGCGCATTGGCAGTCCGCTGGATTAGACGTGCGTGTTTGATTTCTTATTGATAGTTTGCTTTGAAAACAACTGCTGTAATTTGTTGGGTTTACTGCCAAAGAAGTTTGCTGCAGAATTCTACTTGCATTCTAACATTTGGTTTGGAATACATTAGAGTAAAGCGAAGATTAGGATTGGGAAGGGATTATTGTTAGTTTACCTAAATACCTAGTACTATACTATTGGTCAATGGACAGGGTCCATTGATTGGGAAGGGATTATTGTTAGTTTACCTAAATACCTAAGTACTATACTATTGGTCAACGGACAGGGTCCATTGTATGGCATAGAGAATGGAGTAAGTTTCTCCCCTTTTTTTTTTCTCTCTCGTTAGGATGGAAACCTGCAGAGGAACCAAGTCCTTGCTAATCGTCTTACTATTAACATGAAATGATACTATGACTCACTTTTAACAATTACAGCCAAGTATTGGTACTCGGCTTTAGGCCAGTTTTCATCTTGAAAAAGGAAAGTTAAACTAAAAAATAAAAAATGGTATACTGCATGAGTCGAAGAAAATTAATCACAATTAGCTGTGAAATTGCGAAATCATGGCATCTTCTTGAATAGTACTTAAAATTTGCTCAAGTACAATGAATCATCATAATATTCCTAATCCAATAAAAGGAATGTTTTTGCCGATGTATTTCGACCGTTCATGCCATATCCGGACCACTTGGGAGCGGTTCGTAGCCATCATGGTTCTTGATGTGGCAGCTTCTTTGCTATTCTCAACGAGAATGCATTTGAGAATAACAGCAACAATGAGGATTCCTGCTCCAAGTAAAGTGCTGCTCAGCGATAACTCCCCCCTCAGTGGCACAGTGTTTGCAAAAGTACCCAAGAATTCAACTATGATACTTTGGAAGGCCACTGTAGAGACCATCACCATAATGAATAGCCAGTTATCAAAGAAGTTTAGGAAACATTTATCTTCTCCATATCCCTGCTATTGATTTCATTGAACACCTGAACAGTAGCATCAAAATTATCTAAAACTGAGTTGTACAATCAAAAATATATATATGCCTCAATCATCATAACTGCAAAAGTCTTGTCTTCTGGGAAGATAACCAGGTGGGTTTTCGAAACTACATTGTAAATAGAACGACACCAGGCCCTAAAAAATGAAGAAAAGGATATAAGGATCAAGGGCCAGCACCTGGCAAAATACGAATGTATTGAAGATGACTGTATTCAAAACAGCAGTAGCATCTGAACCAGAAAGCATCAAAAGCCGTTTCCCGTTAAACTTGAGAATTGCAAGTACAATCAATTGATAAATGCTCTGGCCGATGACATTCCTCCACATGATCCTAGTGATGAAAGCTACATCCCTCCCAATAATAGGCCTTTTCATCAGGCCCTCATGAGGAGGTTCTGTAGCCAATGCCAATGCACCAAGAGTGTCCATGATAATGTTCACCCAGAGCAGCTGAACAGCCGTGAGAGGAGCAGAACCTGAAAATTACTTCTCAAAGATAATTAATCATTTGCATTATCTAAAAGACAGGCCTAAGCTCAAAGCAAGAAACAAATTTGCTAGGATGTTTTAAAAGGCTAACCTCCATAAATGAAAGTAACTGAGATGCATGCAGAAATAAAATTGAGCATGACAGTGACAATGTTAACTGTGAGCTGAAACTGTACAAACTTTTGGATATTGACATAAACTGCACGGCCCCATCGGGCAACATTCTGCATGGTCGTGAAGTTATCATCCATTATGATAACATCAGCACTTTCTTTTGAAACCTGAAGGTGGTATTGAAGAAATGTGCTTAGCTAACATTAATGTAAGAGAAACAGCTAAGCGAACTTGGAAACATTTTATTCACACAAATGGTGGCTGAGATGACAACAAACCTCTGTTCCAGCAATTCCCATAGCAAGTCCAATGTCAGCCTCATACAAAGCAGGTGCATCGTTTGTCCCATCACCAGTCACTGCCACGACTACTTTAAACTCCTTCCTCAAGTAGGTAACTAGTTTGTGCTTATCCAAGGGCAATGATTGGGCCATAACCTGCATATGTGTCAAGCATTTTATAGGAACTTCATACACATGCAACTTTGGTTCTCTTTTCAGCTCTAAACATATTTCTAAAATGCATGCATAAAAAACAATTTTCTGTTTTCTTTTTCGAGTTAAAACTGCATTTGGGTACTAGAAAAAACAGAACAATTTTATGGGAAGCGGAAAAAAATGACACTTTTTAACTTGGACACATCTTGGTTGAGAAGAAAAAAGATTTTCAGAACAAAATAAAACCCTAGTTCTTAAAGCAATAGCAAGACCTGCAGTTTTGGTATTGTCTCCTCCATCTGCTGTGGACTCATTTCTCGAAAATGCTTGGTTGCTCGTTGGAGATAAGACAATGATTATATATTTAAATTATTATTATTATTATTATTATTATTATTATTATTATTAGAAGATGTGTTTAGGACTGCTAATGTGGATTCATGAATGTTGCTTAGTTGAATGTTTCATGTTGTTCCTGTTTTTCTGGTGTTGGTTATTTTTTTTGTTATTCATGCCGGTGGTCATGGCTTAATCTTAGGACTATGATTTTAATGGGTAGTTATTAATTAGACTTTAAATTGTTATGTTTCTGATGTTAAGAAATGCAACAGTGAGTAAAGTTTTCTTTGCTTCAAAAATAACAACATTTAGTATCAGAGCTATCTTCTTAAGGGATCTGTGTGTGAAATTGACGCGTCATGGAAACTGAAGCCAGTTTCTCCGCAATTGCTCCGGCGATGTTCGACGGAGACAACTACCAGATTTGGGCAGTACGTATGGAGACATACTTGGAAGCTTTAGATCTTTGGAAAGCAGTGAAAGAAGACTATGAAATTTTTGCACTTCCAAACAATCCCACCATGACATAGATTAAAGTACAAAAAAAAAAGGAAAACAAAGAAATCAAAGGCAAAGGCCTGCTTGTTTGCTGCAGTTTCATCCATCATCTTCACTCGTATCATGTCTCTGAAGTCAGCAAAAGAGATATGAGATTATCTCAAGAATGAATATGAAGGAGATGAAAGAATTAAAGGGATGCAAGTCCTTAACTTGATTAGAGAATTTGAACTTCAAAGAATGAAAGACTCCGAAACGATTAAAGATTACTCCGATAAGCTTCTAAATATCACAAACAAAGTAAGGCTTCTTGGATCTGAATTTACCGACTTAAAAATTGTAGAAAAAATTCTTGTTACAGTACCTGAAAGATATGAAGCAACCATCACTGCCTTGGAGAATACAAAGGATCTGTCAAAAATTTCTTTAGCAGAATTGCTTAACGCTTTGCAAGCATAAGAGCAAAGAAGACTGATGAGGAAAGATATAACAATTGAAAGAGCTTTGGCAGTCAAGCATCAAAATGTGGCCAAAAGCAAAAGAAAGAAGAAAAAGGATTTTGAAAGAAATGGGGCAAATACTACATCAACCAATGCAAAAGAAAAGAATGAAAATCAAAAGAAATCTTATTCACCTTACCAACATTATGGAAAGAAGGGTCATCCTCCATTTAGATATTGGAAAAGACCTGATGCTAAATGCACTAAATATAATCAGATGGGGCATGAAGCTGTTATCTACAAAAACAAAAATTTACAACATGGTGAAGATGCAAAGATTGTTGATCAAGAGGAGGAGGATCACTTGTTCATAGCTACATGTTTTTTCGGCATCGAATCAAGTAAGAGTTGACTTATAGATAGTGGTTGTACTAATCACATGACACATGACAAGGATCTATTCAGGGAACTAAGCTATACAAACTCATCGAAAGTTCGAGTTGGTAATGGCAAGTACATAACTGTAAAAAAAAAAAGAACAGTTGCAATTTCAACTTATTCAGGTACAAAGTTCATTTCTGATGTATTATATGTCCTTGAAATTGATCAAAACTTGTTAAATGTTGGACAACTAATTGAAAAGGGTTATAAAGTTATGTTCGAAGATAAAAGTTGCTTGATTAAAGATGTAGTTGGCCAAGATATTTTCAAAGTAAAAATGAAAGGGAAAAGCTTTGCTCTAAATCTATTGAAGGAGGAGCAAACTGTTTTCCCAATCAAAGAAAATATCACTGAAATATGGCATAAGAGGTTCGGGCACTATCATTATCAGGGGCTGCTGTAGATGAAATCTAAGAAGATGGTAAATTATTTTTTAGAACTTGATGATCATATTCCAAACTATAAAACATGTCAATTTGGAAAGCAAAGTAGGAAACCATTTCCCAAGGCAACATGGAGAGCATAAAAAAAGTTACAATTAATTCATACTGACTTTGTAGGCTCATAAAGAACGCCTTCTCTAAAAGGTAGTCTTTATTATGTTACATTCATTGATGATTTCACCCGTATGTGTTGGATCTTTTTTTTAAAGTACAAGTCAAAGGTGGCTCAAGTCTTCTGAAACTTTAAAGCCAGAGTTGAGAATGAGAGTGGCTGTAGAATTCAAACTCTCAGATCAGACAATAGCAAAGAGTACACCTTTGAAGCATTCATTCATTTTTGTGAAAAGGCAGGCATCCAACATCAATTAATTGCTCCATACACTCCACAACAAAATAGAGTAAGTGAGAGACATAATAGATTCATATTGGAGATGACACGATGTATGCTACATGAGAAGAACCTGTCAAAGTAATTTTGGGCTGAAGTAGCAAATACTGTTATTTTTTTGTAAAACAAGCTTCCCATAAGAGCAGTGAATGATTAAACACCTTTTGAGGCATGGTATGGTTATAAACCATCTTTGAATTTCTTTAAACTATTTGGATGTTTATGCTTCACTTATGTTCCACAGACCAAGAAAGATAAATTAGATAAAAGAGCACTTCCAGGCATCTTCATTGGCTACAGCTCAATTGTAAAAGCTTATAAAGTTTTTCAGCCACAAACTGAAAAAATTATTATAAGCAGGGATGTGCATTTATGGAAGATGAAGAGTGGAATTGGTATGATGCAAAAAAGATGGATCCAACCTTAAAAGAGCACAAGCTCAA